GTTTTGAAGCTTGAGTCATGAACAATAAAACTTATCGGTTAAATTTTTTAAAATGATATAATTTTTTTTGTTTTAGTGTTTTGAAGTTGACCAATTGTTACTATAAGCAATTAATGATTATAGATGATCTGCACCGTTAGTCTAGTTTGCAAGTTTCCGATTGGAGTTCAATTCCGCCATTTCTTCTTGGTACATTGATATATATATATTGTTGGACCTATTTAAATTATTTAAATAATATCTACATACACATATTTATTCATGTAAACATTTACATCTTTACACATGCTTACAATAATTCTGTATCAATATAATTGCCTAACCAGTAAATGTATTATCATATTCAGCGCAAGGAGAGTAAATGATGGAATTGCATCATCTTTTTCAACAAAAGAAAAGAACTATTCAATTCCATCAACAATGTATAGGATATAATGATTAATACACACACACATACACACATATATATGTGTGTGTGAGAATATAAATCAATAATAGGTTACGGTTCGCACAAGTATTTTGACATATGCGGGTAATTTAACATTACTGCTTGCTGATTTAGTCTCTGATTCACTGTTTGTCTGAAATACAGCCGCACCTGTCTATTTGCACAAAGATGTCTTGGTATTTGCATAACGTAAGCATAAAAAATGATCCTGGTCCCCACAATATAATTATTATTTAGTGAAAGATTTACAAGTATTATTTAAAAAAAAAAATCATTAATAGTGGCTTGTTTCGTAGAATCATAATAAATCCTTTTTACACTATCTAGCTTTTAATCTCATCTGAACAGTCCCTAGGTTGCTGTTTTATTTTAAGACAGATTTGTTAACGTTGTTCACTATTTAAAGAGACTTTTTTATTATTAAAAATTATAAATGTAATAAAATTCAAGTTGAAATTTTTACAATCGAAAATCATGACGCGACCATGTATGATGTACATCACGTGATCATCTCTTGTTTCTTCACCTTGAGCAAATTAAATAAATAAGAAAGGAAGGATAAACGACCAAATCATTTAAAATAATGAATCAAACTGATTTTGAAGAAGCAAAAGAGGATTAAGGAACCACGCAATAACGTGAATACTCTGTCTGTCTATTTTGCATAGAAATTCATTTGTTCCGACAGTATGCAAGTAGACAGATATTATGGTTGCGCAATCAATCCTGATTGATCGACATTTTTTTTATCAAAATTTCCTGTTTTGTATAAAAGAATGTCAAAGGAAACTGCAACTACACCATCAAATATCGATAAAGATGTTGATAACAACGACATTGTTCGTTCTTCGTCACCATTAGATAACTATGAAGAGGAAGAGTTACATAGTGAAGTTGATGATGATTTAACAAATAATAATAATAGAACAAGACAAGATTTTAATAAAATGAGTACACCCTATTACTCTTATCATGTTGATAGAACTATTCAAAGCGTGAGATAATTTTCTAAATTTTATTTAATGAAATTGGATTGATAAAAAGTTTCAATTTCAATTTCAATTTCAATTTCAATTTTAATTTTATGTAAAGAATGATTCAGCTTATTGGGCAAGGAGATCTAAAACTATGATGACAACAACATCTGAACATAGTCTGGAACCTAATTCTACAAGTTCAGCATCTCATGCTACTACTGTTAGTGGCAGTCTTGTTGAGGATAGAGATGGTGGTGTTGGTATTGAAGTTGACAATGGTAAATTTAATGATACTGTAGAAGTTGCTGGTAAGCCATATTTATATTATTGCGATAATTATTACGATAATAATTACAATGATTTCACTTTTTAATTTTTTGAATTTCATATTAATTAGAGAAACAAATTAAAGAGGAATTAAATAATTTATACACTGATTTTCATAAATGTCTTGAATTGCGCGATAAATATATGAAATTCTCATTACAACGACTTGGTGATAATCCAAAGGATCATGAGGATTATAAAATTTATCCACCACCACCTGCCCCGTCTTCTGCTGCTGATTATTATGCGAAACATTCTAATCTCAATAAAAAAAAAGCAGTGAAAATTGTTGGTGAAGATTTTCATGTTGAAGACTGTGAGATACCTGGTGATCATCAGGTAATATATGTGAAAAGAGAGAGGAATGGGGAGAGAAATGGAGACGAGGAAGGAATTATATAACATTTTAATATTAATCATAACATCAAAATTTTTTGCTAAATAATATTAGTATGTATATGAATTATCCACAGATGGAGTTTATTATGTTTATAAATCAGAAGAAGATCTTAAAAATCATAAAATCAAAAACTACAAGGATAAAAGTTCATCATCACCATCACCATCATCACCATCACCATCACCATCATCACCATCGCAATCATCACCACCACCATCACCACTATCGTCATCACAACTATCGTCATCACCTTTATACTTGGTTCCATCCACCAAAGAATATTTTATGGATTTAGATTTTATATTAAATGTGATTTCTGATGGCCCGACAAAAACTTATGCTTATAGACGTTTACGATATCTGGAAAGTAAATGGAACATGTATACTCTACTCAAAGAATATCAAGAGATGGCTGAATCGAAGGTTTGCTGTTTTTTTTTTTTTTTGAAAAAATAGGGAATATTTAATAAAAAAAATTTAATGTAGTTTTTTTCACAAAAAAAAAAAAATAGAAAGTTCCACATAGAGATTTTTATAATGTTAGAAAAGTTGATACTCATGTTCATATATCATCTTGTATGAATTCTAAGCATCTTCTAAGGTTTATCAAATCAAAATTAAAGAAAAATGGAAATGTGAGTAATTATCGATTATGAAATGGTATATTTATTGAAATATATTATGCAATTTATTAATCAATCAATCAATTAATTATATAGGATGAAGTAATTTTTAGAGATAACAAAGTTCTCACATTAATTGAAGTATTTAAAAGTTTAGGCTTGACAGCTTACGATCTTAGTATCGATACACTGGACATGCATGTAAGTGTTATCAGCATCTTTCACATATATATTGTTCACATACATAGGCACAAGTGCACATTTGATAATAATGATATGTAATAATAATAATAATAATAATAATAATAATAATAATAATAATAATAATAGGCACATACAGATACGTTTCATAGATTTGATAAATTTAATCTAAAATATAATCCAATTGGTGAATCTAGACTCCGAGAAATTTTTCTGAAATCTGATAATTATGTTCAAGGAAGATATTTTGCTGAATTAACTAAAGGTTAATTAATAAGCATTTTATTTATTTATTATTTTATTGTGGCTCATAAGTATCTGTGTATTTTTTTGGTGAATTATATAGAGGTTATTTCAGATTTGGAGTCAAGTAAATATCAAATGGCTGAATATCGAATATCGATATATGGAAGGTAATAAAAAATCCATACAATATTTATAATTTATTAATTTCATCTATACATTTATTCAATCACCACAAACAATTTTTTATAGATCAAAATCTGAATGGAGCAAACTTGCAAAATGGGTGGTACACAATAAAATATTTTCACCAAATGTCAGGTGGTTAATTCAAATGCCTAGGCTTTATAGTATCTACAAATCTACCAAGACTGTTGAAAATTTCGAAGATGTTATAAAAAGTGTGTACTATTTAATTATAATTATAAATCAAGAATTACGAGTTGAATGATTAGAAGTTATATTTAATTAAATATTTGATTTTGCTCACTCGCCCAAAAATTTCTTCGATAGATTTATATGAGCCATTGTACGAAGTTACAAAAAACCCAAAGACAAATCCCGAGCTACACATATTTTTACAACGTGTAGTTGGGTTTGACAGCGTGGATGACGAGTCGAAAGCAGAAAGACGTATTCACAAAAAATATCCAGTACCAAAAAAATGGGACACCGACCTCAACCCGCCCTACTCCTACTACTTGTACTACATGTATGCAAATGTGATCAGTTTGAACCAGTGGCGAAAAGAACGCGGATTCAATACTTTTGTTTTGAGACCTCATGCTGGTGAAGCAGGTGACACTGATCATTTAACATCGGCTTTCCTGACATCACATTCAATCTCACATGGCATTTTGTTGAGAAAAGTTCCTGCATTGCAATATTTATATTATTTGAAACAAATTGGAATTGCAATGTCGCCATTATCGAATAATGCTTTGTTTTTAACTTATGAAAGAAATCCATTTATGAGCTTTTTCCAAAAAGGATTGAATGTTAGTCTTAGTACCGATGATCCATTACAATTTCATTACACTAAAGAGCCATTGATTGAAGAGTATAGTGTAGCTGCACAGGTAGGCATGTAAATATTATTGTTCAAATATATTTATGTACTAATGTTTATTTACAACCAACATATTTATATTACATATATAATAATAATAAAATAGATTTGGAAACTATCTGCTTGTGATATGTGTGAATTAGCACGTAATTCGGTATTGCAAAGTGGATTTGAAATGATGTTAAAGAAGCATTGGCTCGGGTCAAAATGGTTCTTACCAGGTCCTGATGGAAATGGTAACAAACTTATTATTGATACAAATATTCGTTTATAACCAATATATATTGTATATGTACATTCATGCATAAATATTTCTCTGATGTTTTAATTTCATATTTATTATTATAGACATTCATAGAACGAATACACCAAATGTTAGAATATCATTTAGACATGAGACATTAATGGAAGAAATTAACATGTTGGCAAAATATTCACGTTTAAAATCAAGAGATTCATTTGTTTGTAACACTATAGAAATGTCTTTATCAAATTATGATAAATATTTATCATCAACACGATCTTTATCAGCATCAGCAACATCACAACAATCAACACCTGAAAAAAATGTTGTTGGTAAAGATGGCGATATTGGCAAAGGAGATATTAAAGAAAGCGATGACTATTTTAATAGTGGTTTGGGTGCTGGTGAACAAATTGTTGCAAGTCCGGGTAAATCTTTATTTTCCGATTCAGAAATGGGAGTTATTCCTGGTGTTGCTATGTTTGTGGAACGTATTCATCAAATTGGTAAAAAATACAGGAAAGATAAAACTGATAATGGCACTGGAAATAGTAATTGATAGCAGTCAAATTAATAATAGTATATATGTATATATATACATTCCTTGTTATTTATTTATTTATCAGAATATTTTAACCATATTTTCAACATAACAATAAATAAAAATGTTGAAAAGTCATTCTTATTTTTTGATGACCTTGATTTTCTTGAATTATTTCTCTCTTTTTTACTTCATTTTCAACTTGTTACTTTTTATCAAAAATTTTTATTTTTAGTGAAGTATCTCTATATATCTATCTACAACAACTCCTTATTTATTATTATGATTCATTCGCATCATTATTATTGCTATTGAAGAATTAGATAACATTGCGCTCCTTTTCCATGATCTTTTATAAATAATTATTCTCAATATTCATTATATTGTTATCACAATCATCATTAGGGTTCATTCTAACAAGCTTTGGCGCGTATATAAAACATCCTTGATGGATTTTTTTTTACAAGTAAAAAAAATTCTGTATCCCCCTATCAAAGACCTGCCTACTTTTGTTAATTACTCAAAAAAAGCTCATACATAAATCATTATGTGGCTAAAAAAACTTTGATGAAAACTTTTCATACGTACTAAAATATGAAGTTTTGTACATAATTTTATTACTTGGGTTAGTTCCTGGGCACTTTTGGTAGGTAAGTGTATATAGCAGTTCAAAGTATCATTGCCAATAAAACAAATCGTTCCAAAAATAGATATAAAATCATTCACTCGCATCACTGACACACTATTAAAAATCTAGTCTTATAGATTATGTACCAACAGTTATTCAACAAATACAGCTTTGTTTGATACATGGACTACAAAAACTTTTGATGGATAATCACAATTAATTGATATTGGTAAAACCAAATACACACAAGACAATAATAGAAACACTAACAGGTTTTATTGATACACATTTATACAAATTCAATACTACTGTTGACACAGGGCCCTGGATTATTATAATCCAGGCTATTAGAAATTTTTTTATAATAGTAACATTCATTTTTCTCCTTGCATGTAAAGCTTTACCCATATAAGACATGTAACTTCATATGTAACTATCATATTAATATGGTTGTTATCAGGATACTCCATAAACTCGGTAATTACAATCCAAGGGTTCCACGCATATATACGATCTAATTTGTTAAAGGTATATCATGCTTAATGGCTTAAGCAAGTGCGCATGGACATTTAATCAATTACAAATGGAATTAATCCATTGTTCATACATGTATGTATATGATTATTGATACTACTTGATAAAAAAATAAAAAATTAATATTAATAATACTAACGCGTTCAATTCGGTACGTATGATCAAAGTTCAATTGAACTCAGAACTCGGAGCTTGAATTGAACTGAATTTGAACAAGAACCTGAACATATAATGTTTGACGTTCAGTTCAAGCTCAGTTCAAAGTTCATGAACATGTTCAGAGTTCAATTACATAATTATTGTAATGGGGTTTTTGAACTAGCGACTAACATCGAAACAATTTAAATATTTTTGAATCGATCCGTTACAAATATTGTAGAAATTCTGATCCTCGCTTGAAAGAGCAGGGGAGTAAATAAATACAAAATTAACATTCTAATCGGAATCACTATTTTTAAAAAAACAATCTATTCAAAATCGTTAAAGCGCTTTGGAAAAAGCAACAAGGGTAGAGGGCCTTGGTAAAATGCTACGTTTATTTGCTTTAGCGAGTAATCGAAGGTTAAGATTACGTTGATTAACTAGTGAGTGTTAATAACGTAATTTACTTTAACGAGTAAGCAAGGGTTTAGTAACTGACATTGGTTAATTAGCAAGCGTTGACAACGGTTAGTGAAGAAGTATTGTCCAATGATTAAGTTGGAAATACTAGTAGTGTTATTGTAATCGTAAACATAAGACTGTTAAACAAGTTGTTTTGTAAATAAGCCAAAGCGAGCCTGCAATTGGCCAAATAAATATAAACGACCGAAATAAACTGAATATAAAAGGAATTTTATAAAATTATAAAAGAGCCTTCTTTATTTACAGTTATCTGATATATTAAACGTGCTTACAGATTCGCCGAAGCTTTCTAGCTAGGTACAACAAGCGAGAACCGATACAAATTCGTAATTAACCGAATTTAATCGTCCATAATATTAAATAATCGGTGTTAACAGTTGATCAAACGTCTACCAAGAATTAGAAAACTGTAAAAAGGCTCATTATTCTAATAATTTATAAAATAAAAATTTATTATTATAATGGAAATTAGTCTTCTTTTTCTAATTAAATAAATCGGAATAAAAATTATTGTTAGTAACAAATAATTAACGGATAGTAATTTCCCAAATAAAATTTTTATTTACCTTTGTTAATAATACCAACATTTGAGAGAATATCAAGATTATTTAATAATGAACTACTGTTTAATATTTTAAATTTAGTAATTTCTTCATCTAATATTCTACTTATATGATACGCATCTGGATGCGATTTGTGTACTCGTTGCGAATATCTACCAATACTACTAACACTGCTGTTCCTACTATAATTATTTAAATCAATTTCATGTCTTTTAATTTTAGAAAATCTGAATATTTTTTTTATTAAACTATTACGATTATTTTTCAAAGTTTCGGCTGTGTGAACTTCTTTCAACTTTTTTTCAGCAAAATCAAAAAGCTCCTCAATAGTCGGCCTTTTTGATGGATCCATATCCCAACACTTTTGCATTATTTCTGCATAATCATCAGGCATTTCAGGATGTATTGGTGGTTGTAAACCTTCACATATATCAAAAATTAAATGATAGTCATGAGCTCTATCATCAAATGGTGGATGGCCTGCAAATATTTCCCACATTAGCATCCCAACACTATAAATATCTGATTCTTTCGTGTTCTTTGTATTGATTTTGCCTTTAAATAGCTCAGGTGCAACATATGATATAATTCCATATATTTTCTTTGATGATTTTTCATCAACTGGTCCACATAATCCTAAATCGGTAATATAGCAACAACCTCCTTGCAATAATATATTACCACTATGTAAATCACAATGGATTAAATCTTTTTCATGTATCCAATATAATGCATCACATAAATATCTAAAGATTGTGATTTTGTTCTTTAATGTCAAATCATAATGATTTTTTTGTAAATAATTCCTTAAATTTCCTTCTGGAGCATAACTTAAAACTATTGCATAATTTCCATTATCTGGGAATTTAGTTATACCATAGCAAGGAACAATTGTTGATGATTTAATTTTACAATAATTTATTGCCTGAAAATAAATATAAATAAAACCAATTAGTATATTATATAATGAAGTATGGTTTATTTTGTTTTAAACAATAACTACTACCAACCTCATAAAAAAAGCTTTTTCCTGGATCATTTGAATTATTTAAACTTTTTAATACTACTTCTTGATTTCCAAAATAACTAAATTCTTTTTCATTCTCATTATAATCACAAATAGCTCCTCTTGTCCATGCAGCAGTATAAATTGAACTAAATCCACCATCAGCTAATTTTGTAATATCACCAAATTGCTCAAAAGGTATCCATTCTAAAATATAGCCTGGCAAAGATGATTCGATTTGACATTGTTGAATAAAATCATTAATTATGGAATTTCCAGATGTCCAAGTAATGAATAGACTCTGTAATTGTAAGCTAATACAATTTTCACAGAATCTATCAGAATATCTTGTTGATCTACATTCATTGCATTCTCTTGGTTTTCCTGATTCATAAATTGCATTAGATAATTCCAACTCATAAATAAACTTTTTTTTAGAATATTTTTTTTCATTGCCAGAAAGCTCCTTGTTTTTTCTGACCAATGAAAAAAAATATTCTTTTATACTTTCTCTATCAGAATTAACCAAAGCGTTATTATACATTTCATTATTAATTTTATATATAAACTCTCTTCTTTGTGGTGATAGTAATGATAATAAATTATTATATGACATGGTGTAAAAATAAGAATTTAAAAATTTGACTCGATTAATCTACAGTATTGCGTTTTGTTGAATTGAATAGAATAGAGAAAAAAATAAAAAAAAATTTTGTTTTTTTTTCAAGAATGACGGACGATAATTCCATCTTTTATTTATACGGAATTATTGTTTACCAGCTTACCTATCAAGTCATATGCTTCATAAGATAAATATAGATTTGTAAAAGTAATTTTCTACCTATATGTATAGCTTGATTTTGCAAACAAGTTAATTAACATGAATAAAAAGAAATTTGCCGTGTCACGCGGTCTCTTTTTAATTTTTAATTTCTTATTATGTTTAGTTTTTTCAGCCAATCTTTTATTTTTTTAGAGTGCCTTGTTATCGCTATGCGATTTCCCACTCTCCCAAATTTTCTTTATTCGAGAAAAGATTCGCTATATAGTCAGGGAAAAAAAAAGATCGAGAGGAAGTAAGATCTTGATTATTGGTGATCTAATCAGGATTTAAATGCTTTTGTTGTTATTGTTAGAAAAATAGATCAAAATTTTTTTTTTGAAAATGCAAAACAGGAATTGATATCTATTACCTTCTCTCGCTGTTAAAGTAATCGACTAAGAAATGAAATCATGACGCTAATAATTCGTATGGTTAAAAAAAATGATCGATCGAAACTATTTTTTTAAAAAACAGGTTTATTCCGTTGTTGTTAAATAGACCAAGTCTTTTTAGGATAACTCGCAAAATATGAAAATAATTGCCTTTTTTTGGGTATATAATTAATTCGATTGTTAATTTTAAAAATGCTTAACAAAATGGGCCAATAAATTTATTACGTAAGGCCCTATTGCATAAATGCATTTCTTAAAAACGTAAGTTTGCCGTGTCACATTCTCTTTCTAAGTATGTATATAATTTTTGCAAATTTTACAAATTCTTAATATTAATATGATTAGTTAGTTCTATGAGCAAAAGGACCACCTTCTTATCTCTATTGTTTGCTGGCTATTGCGGATCGCCCAAAATTTTTTTCTTTTAGTAGTTTGATTTATCTTACAT